TATAGCCTAACGCGGACGGAATATGCCACATTTTGGACGAATAAACCAAAAGTAGGTCCGTACACTTGAATATTTGTCTGTGAGCTGATTTCCAGCTACAAGGAGAAAAAGAAAAACCGATCAGGAAGGAGATGCAGGGAACAGGGATTGGGTGTTCTGCAAAGCGAGTTGGAGGTAAATAATTTTGCAATAACTGTTATGCTGATGTTGTGGCTGGTCCAGCAAATGTTTGTGTTTGTTTCTGTATGATATAATTGTTCATATATCTATTAAAATACTGATATTCTGGTCTATAACTCCTCCCCGAACTTCCCTCTGCCCTGTATCTTGGTCTCTCATTGGCTGTAGGTCATCGCCGATGTAGTTTTCAGTCAGAAATCATTGCACACAGCATGATTGTGAATCGCCGACAGCTCCAGATATTTAGCATGCCAAATATTTAGATTCCTCAGATCGCGTTTTTCATAATTCACACTGCGTGATTGTCATTCGTGTGAACGAGCACCAATTTGCCTTCGATTTCGGGCATTTGTCTGCGATTTCGCAAAACTTGTCGGCGAGTGAAAAATCGGGCTAAAATCGTGCAGTGTGAACTCCGCATAAGTCAATTCTTAGCAGCGTTCTTGAGAGTAATTCTCAGAGGCTTAATAAATACGGACCCAAATTTGTGTTTTTGATTTGAATATTAGGAACCAATGAGAATCACCCAGTTGCACAAGCTCCTTCTCATGTAAGTCTGGAGAATCATGAGTGTTAATGAAGAGGGAGGAACTATAGTCTATTAACTGCAATCTGTAGAGTACAAAAAGACCAAAGCAGAGCATGTCAGCAGTGTACCTAGCAATGGCAGGAATTTGGTGTACTGTTCAGTTTCTGGGGCTTTGTGCATTCTGTCATGCTGTTCCAAAGTGGAGTAATCTGCTCCAGAACCCTCAAGCTCTGATGATCCAGCAAACTGACCAGCGGTTTCAGCAGCCAGTTCGACAACAAACTAACCAGCGGGTTCCTCAGCAGTTTCAGCTTCAGAAGCTAGTGGCGCAGACAGAGCTCCGTGATAAATGTGCTGATTATGAACAGATCCAATGTGGACAACCTGGGATCAGTGGTGCTGAGTGTGAAGCTATCAACTGCTGCTTTAAGAGACCGCAGTGTTACTATGGGAGTGCAGGTAAGCTTTCTCAATATTATTGTTCTGGTTAAACTGATTATCAGCACTAACCTGCTCTTGTACCTTGTTCCAGTGACTGTCCAGTGTATTAGAGATGGTCAGTTTGTGGTAGTGGTGTCTAGAGACGTTACTCTGCCTCGACTGAGTCTGGATTCGGTTCGTCTACTGGGTGGAGACCACCCTCCTTGCGCTCCTGTGGAGTCCATACCTTACTTTGCTATATACCAGTTCCCTGTGACCGCATGTGGCACGACCATGATGGTGAGCAGCTGCTTCTGGCTTTATTCTGCATTGCTTATGATGGACTGGATGCCAGTGTTGCTATTCACAGGAGGACCGTGTATGAGAACAGAATGACGTCCTCCGTATGAAGTGGGGATTGGACCATTTGGTTCCATCAAAAGGGACAGTCATTTTGAGTATGTGATCTATGACTTGGTGTGACTGTTAAATGACTGTCTGATAAATGCTAAAAGCTCGCCGTCTGTTGTCCAGGTTTCTCTTCCAGTGTAGGTACCCTGGAACTTCTGTGGAAGCGCTGGTCCTCCGCCTCCACCAGTAGCTGCTCCTGGACTTCTCAGGGTGGAGCTCAGACTGGCCAATGGCTAATGTGTCCCCAAAGGCTGTGCAGAAGATAAGTACTTTGTCCCATGTTTTCCTATTGTCTGAAGACCCCAGGTTGCAGCAGTTTGTTTAAACCCCAGTGTTCCTCAAGGGATGAGGCTTACACATCCTACTACAGTGATGCTGATTATCCCATCACAAAAGTCCTGCAAGAGCCTGTGTATGTTGAGGTGCACATTATGGAGAGGACTGACCCCAACGTTGTCCTGTTGTTGGGTGACATCAACCCCCCCCAGTCCACTCAGTCTCCCCCAGTGGGACCTTCTGATCGATGGGTGAGTAATGCCACTCTTTATCCAGTTAGTCTGCTGGGAGACTTTCTAAGCTTCGTTCGTCTTCAGATGCCCTTACCAGGACGACCGTTATCTGACCACACAGTGACTGGATCATCTGGTCTTCAGTTCCCAACCCACTACAAGCGCTTTGTTGTGAAGATGTTCACATTTGTAGATCCAGCCTCACTGGCTCCTCTGCAGGAAACCGTATGCTCTTCCTGAATCCATAATGTTACTCCTTTTAATGGATTCTATGGCTTAACAGTCTTCCCTGTCAGATCATCCACTGCAGTACAGCGGTGTGCCATCCCTCTTCTGGCTCCTGTAAGCGAAGCTGCACCAGGAAAAGTGAGAATTTGCTCTTGAGTGTTTGTTTTTGAAGTGCCTTTACCATTCTTGCAGGAAGCGACACTCATGCCAAGACCATCTCTAATGGGCTGGCTGTGGTTTCTAGCGGCGAAGTTACTCTGGTCATGTAAATTTGGCTCTTTTAATAAACCGCATGAAACTCCAAGATGCTTTCTAGTCTTTGTTGCCGTTGCACAGTCCAGTCTTGCATGACTGTTCCATGTTTTTCTAGGGCCACACTACTAACCAAAGGTTCCATTTGCTTTAGCAAGGTTATGCATAGTCAGCTTCTGTGCAAGCCATTTAACTATTTGCGACGCTCTAGTTGTTAACCCGGGCACCCGTTCTTCATGCAGGGTCCTCATATGGAGTAAGATGAATGGTTATGGCAACTTCTGGTTAACTTTGCTCTGTCTTGTTCCATAGGCTGGACTTTCACTTGTTGGCCGTATCTCTGATGCCATTTGAAGGGGTTTATCCAGTCATGCAAGTCCAGGGGTCTCCAAACTCGGTCCTGGAGGGCTGGTGTCCTGCGGAGTTTAGCTCCAACTTGCCTCACACCTGCCTGGAACTTTCTAGTAGTGATGTTACACAGATGCTTCAAAATGTGTATCCAGTAAGTGGCACAATTTCTCTCACAGCTCTGTGCTGGAGTGTGTGTATTGGTATCATGTGATCAACGGAAAACTAAGCCTCACTCCGTCCAATCACATGTCGGAATGTTCAAAACCCCAGGTCTTACTTTACGAGTAAGTTCATTGATACTTATTCATTTATGTTTTAAATACCCAGTCATACAA